CATATCCCACCTAACCCTGTCCTCTGGCAGCTGAAAGCACAAGGAGAAGTTTTTCCTGCTGTTTTTTCTGGGGCACAGGGAGTGTGGGTCCCTGGGAAGCTGAGTCACGGCTCTGTGCAGGAGACATCTGTCTCAGCAGTAATTAGAGGAGATGAAACCCATCAGTGACAAGCTCTATCCCAGCAGTTGGAGCTCAGATTCTCATTTCATGCTGCAGAAGGATGAGTAATTCTAAATAGCTCTGAAGACGTTTAAAAGCACCCAAACCATGACAGACAGCACAGAGCAAATGAGAACAAGGTGAGTTATTAAATGCCTGCTGAGCACACACAAAGCCCCATTATCACTGAACACTGATACAGAGCTGTGTGTGTTGTACCTGTGCTCTGCTCCCCCGGGCTGGGGCAGCTCTGGGGACACCACACCTGAGCCTTTCTCTTCCAGCAGCTCCGTGGGCTCTGAGCTGGGCTGGAAACAGGAACTCAGTGCTCTGTCCTGGTGCTTTCAGCAAGAAACCCTCCACTGAAAACTCAGGGGAACCACTGGGTGGTGGAAGGAGTCTCTGCCCTCAGACAGAAGGCTTGGAACACCCCAGAATTGCAGGGAGGAGCAGGAGAACCCCAGCCTGTCCTGTCTGAGCTGTCCATGGCAGGGAGGAGCAAGATGAGTTCCAGGCAGGATTTATTCCTGCTGCAGCAGGATGTGGAGCACTGTGCTTGGCAGGGCTCCTTCCCAGGGGAGCTCGGTGAGCAGCTCCCAGTTAAACCAGTGAAGAGCAGAGGGGGGTTCCCAGTCCCGGAGCCTCAGAGGAGCAGCTCCTTTTGCACCTGAATGCAGCTTTTTAATTAAACACAGAGTTTTGCCAGCATTTTGTGGCAGGGCTGCCAGCCCTGGTGGGGGCTGTTGATGGCATTGGCTGAGCTCAGGGGCTGGGATTGTGCCCAGGGCTTCTGGAACTGCTTCCATTCTCCTTTGGCTCACACTTTGCAAGTGTAATTTGAAGTGGAGCCAGAACATGGCCCAGGTCTCATTTTAAAAGGAATTTGGTTAAAGGTTTTTCATTGCTTTACATCCTGCAGTGGCTTTAAGGCTGCCTGGTGACTCACAGGGAAAATAAAATCAAATAAATAAAATAACCTTAAGATGCTGGCATGACTTGCAAAATGTGAGCAGAGCTGGAGAAGTTCTTTTCCTGTGTGACTTTGCAGGAGCAAAGGGATGCACCAAAATCATCCCCAAGGCTGCAGGAATGAGCACCTTCTCCAGCAGAAAAATTTAGGGATAAATGAGAGCAATCAAAGTGGGATTTTCTGATTTTCTGCTTTGTTTCCATCTCTTTTGGGTTTGTGTGTTCACAAGAAATTTCTATATTTGTTATTTTACACTCGTGCCAAGCCCAGGGATGCTGATGAATTAGGGACTAATAACAATTAGTGTTGAAACCTAAACAAATGAGCAAGGAATGAGTCATAATTTTGGTGTGACCTGAGGACACAGCATTGCTCATTGTCCCTTTTTCCCTGTTCACTTCCTACATTCTGCTTTCCAAAACTCATCATTTCTATTTGGGTTTGCAGATGCATTTCAGAAAAATACCCTGAAAAGTTTCCAAAACTGAAGTTCAGAAATGTAGAGTTAATGAGGATGTTTGGTTTCACTAGATCTGAAATTTTGCTCCATTTCACTTTTATTATCAATTATTGAGAGTTTTGAGCTCCATGCAAACCCAGAAATGCAGACACCCTCCATTCTGATGAACTCTAAATGAGGCTCCATCCATTCTGCTGAAATGCTCCATTTCCTTTTTGGCAGAATTTCACTGGAATCACCACATTCCAGATTTTTAAAGATAAAGTTTTCAGATGCTTTTGATTCAGTGCTGTTTTTCAGACATGGGCAGACTGAATTCACAGCAAATCCCTGTCAGGGAAAAGTGTGAGAGCAGAGCAGGGATGCTGATGTCCTTTGGTGCAGTGGGGTATCACAGATCACGTCATAGGATCATGGAATCTCCTGGGTGGGAAAGGACCCCCAGGGATCATCCAGACCAACCCCTGGCCCTGCACAGACACCCCAACAATCCCTGCATGTCCAAACTCTCCTGGAGCTCCGGCAGCCTCAGCTGGGACCATTCCCTGGGGAGCCTGGGCAGTGCCAGCACCTCTGGGGGAAGAACCTTTCCCAAAATCCAACCTAAACCTGCCCTGACCCAGCCCCAGCCCTTCCCTGGGGTCTGAGCACTCGTGGCTGTAAATCTGTGCCTGAGGACGTGTCCTGTGCCTGCTCTGGGCTTTGCAGCCTCTGTCCTTGTTTGAAAGGAATCAAATGGAAGGAGCTGCTTCAGCAGACAAGTTATTAGTGCTGGGTGCCCTTGAATGGCAAAGCTTGGATTTGGAGGAAAAAGCTGAAATGAGACATTTTCCATTTTATGATTTTGTCTGTGGAGAAAGTCCTTTTAATCTCAGTTTAATGAAAGTTGGCTCAAGACGTGTGAGTGACTGGGAGTGCTTGGGAGAGACAGGAGCAAAGCTTGAGGGGAGCTCAGGGCAAGATGAAATCCTCCCTGAGATGAGGCAGAGTTTGAAGGGGAGGAGTGACCTCCCAGCACCTTCCCATCAGGAATGGTGGGAATATCTGTAATTACAGATCACAGAGCGCTGGGGATGTGCTGGAGTCACAAAGGCTGGAAGCAGATCCATGGAGCTGGGTACTGTCAGCTCAGGAGCTGCTCCATCCCTCAGCTGCCTCTCTCTGCATCAATAATTCTGTTTCAGAACCTCCTCTCATGGTTCCAGTGCTCCTTCCCCCTTCTCCTGCCACTCCCCACATGGAATCCAGTTAGGCTGCAGAACCAGCTGTGGATCATTTCCTCCAAAGGCTTTTTGTGCATGAAAAATAGATCAAAATCCTGGGGAGCTATTTATGCTGGCTTATTTTTACAGCTCTGACAGAAATGGTAATAGGAAAATGAGATCAAGATGCTTTTGGTACATTACTGGCAATAAAATAATAAAAAATAGAGCAACCTGCAAGCAGATGAGGGTCAGATCCTGCAGGTAATTTCTGTGCTAGGAGTGCACAAAGCCCAGCATGTTCAGCTCCTTCTGCAGGGCCTCCAGGTATTGTGGATGCTGTTTTTGAGGCACTCGTCTTTTATGAGTCTGTAATAATCTTTGCATTATGCTATTACAACATAATCAGGTCCTTGTCACGCTGCCAAGGCTGAGCAGATAACATCAGAGCACTGAGGAATTTCAGCTCTAAACTCATTAGGAAGACCCAGATTTGTTCCACAATAGTTCCAAACCTCTGTGGAGCTCAGTGCTCTGCAGGGATGTGCTCTCAGCCAGATGGTGGCTCAGGAGGCAGGTCTGGGCTCCAGCACAGCCTGGGAGTTCAGCTGGGAGAGCATCTCTCCAAGATGGGATTTAAAAATACTCTGCTCCTCTTTTTAAAAAAAAATTAACTTCTGGGAGCACTAAAATGACAAAGCTGCAGTGGGCCTGGCAGTGCCCAAGGCCAGGCTGGATGGGTTTGGAGCACCTGGGACAGGGGAAGGTGTCCCTGCCATGGCTGGGGTGGGAATGGATGGGCTTTAATGTCCCTTCCAACCCAGACCATTCCATGATTCTGTGATCAAGGTTTGGGCTGCTCCTGACCCCTCCTGTAGGGAACACCTGGCCAATGAAACCTAAGAGATCCCCAAAAGTACAAAATGAGGAGGTGCTGAGGATCACTCTGGACTGGGAGATTTATCCACTCTAGTGGCTGAGCCCAGCAGCCTTGGGAGTACCTGAGGGCAGAGCTCATTCCTCTGTTTCACCAAGATGTTGAGAAGGTAAAGAACTGAGCAGGCAAGACACACAGGCAGTTTGTGCCTTAGGAATATTCCTTTTAAAATAGATTTTTTCTTTGGGGTTGCCTAGTTCAGCTCTGATTTGCTTTGCCCGTGGCCTGTCACAAACCTTGAGTGGACCTTGTTGGCTTGGCTGGGGTGGGAGGAGGAGGGGAGGGACAGGCAGGTCCCTCTGTGAGAGCCCAGCTCTGAATCCACTCTGGGGATGTGAAATTGTCTTTAAAGTGCTCTGAAAGGTCAGAAGGCAGAGCAGGAGTGCAGAGGGATTTTTCTGCATGTTTATGTAGCAGTGCAGGTGGGAGCAGCGTGAGGAGCAGGGGGGAGCCAGGGAAGGTGTCCCCTCTGTGCTGTCACCTGTCACCTGCTGTCCCCACCCTGCAGGGGCCACAGGGGACAGCAGGCACCGCTCCAGCCTCCTGCTGGAACAGGGAATGGAGCAGGGCCCACGAAAACGAGGGCCCACAGATGGGAGGAGAGGTGGTGAGGCTGGAAGGGATCCCAGGAACGCTGGGTGTTGCAGTAAGTGCAGAATGATATCCCAGAGCAGCCTCAGGCCGGCTGGGAACGGCTGCCCGGGGGCTGCAGTCCTGTCTGAGGGTGAATAACCTCTTGCTGATGGCAAACAGGCAGGGAAGAAGCCAGGTATGGCGAGTCTTCCTGCAAACCCTGTGTGTGAGATCAAGAGAGGATCTTACAAGGTTTCATTAACTTGTAGACTGTGATTTAAGGGAATTTGAAGCAGCACGTGGAAGAACAATAATGAACAAATGTTTTCAAGTGGGAGAAATCTGTCCCTGCCATATGTTTCACTGACTCATCCCTTCTGCAGGAGGGGATCTTGGAATTGTTTGAACTATTCCAGTCACTAATGCTTTTCATTTGGGAGGAAACGAGGCCCTGGATCCTTCACTGGGTGAGGAAGAGACCCGATCCCTCTAAAGCTTTGGGCTCAGCTTAATCCAGGAGCGGTTTGGGTCGGAAGGGACATCAAGATGCTGCAGTTCCAACCCCACAGGTGCTCCCTGTGTGTCTCGGTGTTGGGCAGAGGCCACACCTGGTTTGTTTGAGATGTGACACTGGGCTGGCCGGGGTAATGCTGAATCCTCCTCCTCCTCCTCCTCCTCCTCCTGTGGCTGTGTTGCAGGTGTGGCTGTGTGGGGGCAGCATGGAGGTGCTGCCCTGCTCCAGGGTGGCCCACATCGAGCGCAAGAAGAAGCCCTACAACAACAACATCGGCTTCTACACCAAGCGCAACGCGCTGCGCGTGGCCGAGGTGTGGATGGACGACTACAAGTGGCACGTGTACATCGCCTGGAACCTGCCCCTGGAGGTACGGCCTGGCCTGGGGGTCACTGAGGCTTCAAAGCTGAATTATGGAGCGTTAGCACCCCTGAGCACAGCCTTAACCCCCGGGCCTCGGGCCCAGCGGAGCCCCCTCAGCTTTCGGGGAGAGGCTCCAGAAGCTGCAGCCTTTGGAGGGATTCCTGCTGTTCCCACAGCCTTTTTAGCGTGGTTCTGAGAGTTAAACCTGGTGTTTATCTGCCCCCCAGGGTTCAGGCAGCGTGAGGGGATGTCCTGACACTGCTCTGCAGATGGAGTGTGTCTGCAGGCTGGTTAGCTGGCAATGACCCACATCAGTCAGCATCGTTAGTGCCTCGGGTTAATTCCATGTCCAGCTCGGGTTAATTCCATGTCCAGCTCAGGTTTATTCCATGTCCAGCTCGGGTTAATTCCATGTCCAGCTCAGGTTTGTTCCATGTCCAGCTCAGGTTAATTCCATGTCCAGCTCAGGTTAATTCCATGTCCAGCTCGGGTTAATTCCGTGTCCAGCTCGGGTTAATTCCATGTCCAGCTCGGGTTTATTCCATGTCCAGCTCGGGTTTATTCCATGTCCAGCTCAGGTTTGTTCCATGTCCAGCTCGGGTTAATTCCATGTCCAGCTCAGGTTTGTTCCATGTCCAGCTCGGGTTTATTCCATGTCCAGCTCAGGTTTATTCCATGTCCAGCTCGGGTTTGTTCCCAGCTCATGGACACTGAGCCCTCCCACAGCTCCCGAGGGATGGTGGCCCAGGGGCTGCACTGTTGCTTTCCCCAGTGCTGGGAAGTTCAAAGGTAAGGGTTTGGAGGTTGGTGGCTCACAGAAGGGGATCCCCTTCCTCTTAAACCTTCTCCTTAAAGAGCTCTGGTGGTCCCTTTGATTCCTGCCCAGCAAGGTCAGGGTTTTTTTGGATCTGGCACATTAATTTTGGTGTAAATCCTGCCACGTCACAGCTTGGGGAATCTTTGGAAAACCACGAGGTGCCACCAGCAGGTCCAGGTGAGAATGTCCAGGGACACATCCTGCACAGGGATCACTCCCTGCTTCTTTCCCTCACCTCTGGGAGAGCTCCAGAGGCTCCAGGAAGGAGGAGCAGGGAGGTGGCCATGGCTGGGAGGAGAAGGTGAATGAGCCCAGTTTCACTGTGAGCTCAGACTGGTGCCACAAGTGTCCAGCCCCCCTGGCTGCTGTTATTACTGAACACAAAATATTCCTGCTTGGCCAAGGCTCAAAGAGCTGCTGAGGGAGCATCCCCAGCTGCTGTCTGCTCTGGAAAAACAGGAAAACACAACAATCTGAGCTGCTGCTGCAGCGTTCTGAGGAAAGGTTATGTCTGGGGAGAGCTGCTGGCATTTGGAGCCATGGCAGTCACAGCCTGGGAAGGGCCAGGAGCTGCAGGTGTGTGATCCTGGGGCCAGGTGGCACAAAAATAGCAGGAAATAAAGGAATAGAGATGGGAAGAAAAGCTGCTTTCCCAGGGAGCTGCAGGAGGGCTCTGGCTGTGACAGGCACCACTCCAGGGACTGGGAGAGGGGGAGATGCCTCCAGGGCTGAGGGAGTTCGGGGATCTTAAAAAGAGGCTTCAAGATCCAAATGCTCGTGGGCAGGGATCAGAAATCCTGATCTTTGGGCTGATTTCTTTTTTGAGGTGAGGCACCATCCTCCTGCTCAGGAACAGCTTTGGAGCATTGCAGAAAGGATTAAAATCCATCCTGTTGGGCTTGGAAAAGGCAGCGTCACATGGATCAGCACTGGGGGTGGGAACAGGCCTGGGTGACCCAAAATCAACTTGAGATTTTTATATACAAGTCTTCCCAATAGGTCTGGGTTCCCCAGAATCCATTTTTTGAGTTTTTTATACAGGTTTTTTCCCAATCAAATAAAGATTGAATTTGAGGGAAGCCTTGTTGGATGGGGGAGGTTTTATGGATATGCACTGGATTATTTTCTGATGCCAAGGCAAAGCCCTGCCCTGCCCATCCCAGGTTCTCCCTGACTGCTCTGAGCCCCAGCTCAGCCTGTCCTGCCTGTCTCCACACAATCATCTTTATTTTTACCTCTCAGTTACCAGGGGCACACTGAAACGGTGTCTCCTCTAAAACAGAGTGAATAATTCATTAGGAGATCATTACAAGCATTGTAATGGAAAATTGCTTTCCCAGTTGTGTTTAATGACCGCTGGGAAAGGCAAGAGCAGGAGCCCAGGCAGTGGAGGGGCTGCTGTGTGCCTGCCTTTGGCTGCCCTGCTCCCCAGATCCCAGGGTGGAATAGAGGGGAGCAGCTCTCCAGCCCTGCTCCCTGCTCCTGCAGGGTTTTTCCCTGGGGACAGCTTTGTCTGCAGGAGCAGTGGGGTTCTGCCGTGTCTCCAAGGAGACCATTCCACCCTGGAACTGCCCAAATTGCCAAGACATTTTGCTGAGGTTCAGCCTCAACTTTTCTTCTCATGCAATTTTTATACTTCATTCTCAGCTGTCTGCCTCTGCTTTGTTTGAATCTTAAACCTTTCTCTCTTTCCTTCATTCTTTTCCCATTTGTTTTGCACCTTTCACCCCTTCCTTCCTCTGGGTTGTGTCTCAGTGGGGTCAGGGAAGGGTTTGGTGCTCGGTGCCCAGCCAGGGTTTGCATTTCCATCTTTTAAATTCTCATATCTTCTTGCTGCTAAACTCTCCTGGAAGTCCCGTGCCTCAGAACCCAAACAGGAGGAGAAATCGTTTAAAAATACCTCGTTTAAAAATACAGATCAGTCTTTGTCACACGGATCCAAACCCAGGAGAATGGGCAGGAGACTCCCCACTGTTTCACTGCACTTCCCAACTTTCCTCCAAACCTTTTCTTCTCCCTTTGGCTCCTCTTGTAAATTATCCCCGAGGACATCAGCCCGTGGCCATTGCAAGGGGGCCCTCAAAACCCAGCAAGAAGTCGGTGTCCCCCTCTTGCCATGGCTCTGGAACCCACATCCTCCTTCTGATGATTTCACATGGACACACATCCCAGAATTCCTGGAGTCACTCAACCACTGCCAGGCAGTTTGGAAAGGATCTCAAAGCTCAGTGAAATACTTTCATTTTTACCTTTTTTTTGGAAGTGTGACCATTCCTGCTGTTGTTTTTCAGAACCCAGGGATTGACATTGGGGATGTTTCTGAGAGGAAAGCCTTGAGGAAGAGCCTGAAGTGTAAAAATTTCCAGTGGTACCTGGACCATGTTTATCCAGAAATGAGGAGATACAACAACACCATTGCTTATGGAGAGGTAATTTAGTCCCTTAGCTCAGCCTGCTAATATTTACAGTCCCTGATGAGAAACAGCCTCAAAGGAGAGGAGTCTGGATCAAAACTGACTTTTTCTGTGTAATTATCTAAATTTGTATAAATCTGCTCCCAGTTTCTTCTAAAAACCAGTTTGGGGATTTGCTGCTGATCTTGAAGACTGAATGAAGTAAAAATGTTAATACATCATTTAGTGAATTGGCAGAAATTACCCATATTTCCTATGACTCCATGGATTAAGCAGCTGTATTCGTATTTTTAATACACAGGCATCTTCTAAAACCCTGTGACTCAAACTCTGCCTAATTCCTGACAAGGTCTCTGGAGGATTCAGTGCCTTGTCACAACAGCTTAAGGACAAGATAAAATAAGGGGACTTAATTCAATCTCTGCTGCCTTTGAAACCATTCTGGGAATATAGAAAGAGTAATTTATGGGAGCTAATAACAAATACTCTGCTGCAATGGAGTTGATGGAGCAGTGGCACTTGGAGTAGGCTCCTTGAAGCCTGGGCACCCTGGATGGGTTATTCATTTTAGGAAGGGTTTGTTATCAAAGTTACTAAAGGCCTTCAAGCTAAAACCTCCCAAAAAATTCTATTTTCATAGAAAATGAAATTTCAGAATGGTTTGAGTTGGAACAAAACCCAGCTGGAACAAGGATGTGATGATTCCAAGGTGATCCTTGTTCGAGTTGGGCTTTTTTCCCTGCCTTGTCGAGCACTTGAGATTTCACTGAAATCTGAGGGGTTCTGCATTGATTTTGGGGTTCTGCATTGATTTCAGGCTTCTGGGAGCCTAAACCTGGGTTTGTCCCCACCACCCATGAGCAAACACAGAGCCAGCTGTGTCCAGGGATGCTGCCCCTTGGAATGGGGATTAGTCCATTAAACAGCCCTCATTAGGCCTGGGTTTAATGAGAAGTTTAGTGCTCTGTAAGTTTGCTTTGCCTGATTGTTCCTGGTGATAGAGCAGTGAGAGTTAGAGAGGGTCAAGAGGGCTGAGCATCACTTTCCTGCTTATCTCTGATAAGAGAGGGCCATAACTCTGTTCCCTTTGTGCCAGAACTCTGCCCCTGTTTGTGCCATAACTCTGCCCCTTTTATGCCATAACTCTGCCCCTTTTGTGCCATAATTCTGCTCCTTTTATGCCATAACTCTGCCCCTTTTATTCCTTAACTCTTCCCCTTTTTGGGCCATAACTCTGTTCCCTTTGTGCCATAACTCTGCCCTTTTGGGGCCATAACTCTGCCCCTTTTTTCCCTTAACTCTGCCCCTTTTTTCCCTTAACTCTGCCCCTTTTTTCCCTTAACTCTGCCCCTTTTTTCCCTTAACTCTGCTTTTTTCCCCTCGCAGCTGAGGAACAACAAGGCCAAGGACGTGTGTCTGGACCAGGGCCCGCAGGAGAACCACACAGCAATCCTGTACCCGTGCCATGGCTGGGGCCCACAGGTGAGGCTGGCACTGCCACAGCCAGGTGCCACCCCAGGGGACAGCCTGGGGCTGTGGCCTTGGCTCTCCAGTGATAAAAACACCTCGGGTATCACAGGGAGTGTTCCCAGCTGCATCCCCATCATCCTGACAGAGCTGCAAGGAAAAGCCTTGAAAGGAATTGGAAATCTTTGTAAACTGAAAATGCTGAAAAGTTGAATTTTTTTTCAATTTGAAACAACAACAACAACAACAAAAAGTGAAATTTGTAATTTAAAATAAAATCTTCCAGACAAAGGTAAATAGCAACCATGGACACAATCTGAGTATTTCCTTCCCAAGGCCAGGTTGGATGGGAGTTGGAGCACCTGGGGTAGTGGAAGGTTGGAATAATATAATAATATTGATCATAATAATGATCTTTATGATCTGTTCCAACCCAACCCATTGTGGGATTATTTCTCTTCCAGCCAGCAGAATAAACCCAGACTAATGGGGTAAAGAAAACAATTAGTGCTGTGGTAATGAGCCATTTCAGCTTGGCTGGAATTTGCTTTCCAGCACTCCTTTTGCCTCTCCAAAAGTTTTGGAGCATCTGGGGCCCAGCAGGCTCAAGGAGGTTCATTTTCTGCTGAAAAAATGTACAGTTCAAGGAGTAGGAAAGCATAAAAATCCTGTTCTCACTCCACAGTCACCCTGGAATAAGTGATGCCAGAGTTCATCTGAGCCTGAGCCGGGAGCCTGAGGAGCTGGGAACCATCTGGGGATGGAGAGAGTCCCACTCTGGGTTACCTTAAACAAAGATCAGTCCCTGGGGCTGATGGAGTCCCTGCTAAGCAGAATCTGCTCTTGCTCAAACACCCCATTCTTCTCTTCAATGGCACCAACTGCCTTTTGCACTTTGTGGCTGGAAATGTGCACCTGGAAGTGCAATGTTGTGTGAGAAACTGGCTCGGGCTGCCACTGCCTGCTGGCCCTGGGCTCCAGGGTGATTGGCTGGGAATGAGTTATTTATTTTTATTTCTTTTCCCCTCAGTGTTACTGGGATTAAACTCAACCATGTTTTCTTTCCCTACCTGAAGTTCTGAAGTCTAATTTTGCTGGCTGCCTGCAGCTTGCCCTTTTCATCCTTCCTGCTCCTCCCTCTCCACATTGTCCCTTCCCTCTTCAGCTGAGAGCCAGTTCTTGGCAATTCCTTTGTTTTAAGGTACATCCAATTAGTGAAACCCCTGGAAAATTCTGGTTTTAAGCAGCTATCAGCCAGTGCAGGAGCTTTGAAATGGCCTTTGTGGCACCATGAAGGAAATTGGACTTCCCCTACAACTGTTTAATTAATGGGCTGCAGGTTGTAATTTATGGCTGGGAATGGAATTAGAAGTAATGGAAACTCTGGTTTGTGTGTGTGTATATAAATATATATAATTTTTATTTATTTGCATGTGTGTGAAACCCCACAAGGGGTTGTTGAGCTCCTTTGGAGTTGCTCACATCCCAAAGCACACACAGTGCCCTAAAATCCCCCTTCTCTCCTTGACCCTGGGGCCCATCCCAGACATTCCTTATTTCAGAATAAAGCAATGATTTCCCTGGCAGGAGTGAGAGGGGGAAGGTGTGGGCTCCCTGCTGGCACTGTCACACCCCGAGGGGCTGTGGCTCCTGTTCCCTGCCACACCAGCGGTGCTGGGATTTTCCTGGAAGCTGTTCCTGTTCCTGTCCCTGTTCTTGTCCCTGTCCCCTGTCCCTGTCGCATCCCTGTTCCAATCCCTGTCCCTATCACTGTCCCATCCCTGTCCCATCCCTGTCCCATCCCTGTTCCTGTCCCTGTTCCTGTTCCTGTCCCTGTCCCATCCCTGTCCCTGTCCCTGTCCCATCCCTGTCCCTGTTCCTGTCCCATCCCTGTTCCTGTCCCTGTTCCTGTTCCTGTCCCTGTCCCTGTCCCTGTTCCTGTTCCTGTCCCTGTCCCATCCCTCTCCCATCCCTGTCCCGTCCCTGTCCCATCCCTGTCCCAGTCCCATCCCTGTCCTGTCCCTGTCCCATCCCTGTCCCGTCCCTGTCCCATCCCTGTCCCAGTCCCATCCCTGTTCCTGTCCCATCCCTGTCCCTGTCCCCATCCCTGTCCCTGTCCCATCCCTGTCCCTGTCCCTGTCCCAGTCCCACCCGTGGCTGTGGCTGTGGAGCCCCAGCCCAGCTGGCACAGAGGGGATGTTGGCTCTGCCAGGAGGGATTGGTGCTGTTCATTTGTGTCCTGTCCCCAGTTTCTGCTCTCTCCTGTGACTGCCCATGGATTTGAGCTCAGCCTGGATGCAGCTCAGGGTGGTGGCTCTGAATTCAATCTTGCCTTTACTCACTCAGCCCTCGCTGAGTAAAATTTTAGCGATTTTTCTCTTATTTTCCCTTCAGCTTTCCGTTCTCCCTGCCTCCATTCACTTCCAGGTCAAATCATTATGAGATTCCATCATCATCCTTTTATCCTGTAATTATATTGAGGCCGCTGATGGGTTTTTTTCCTGCTTGATGGCTTCATCTTTGAGACAATCCCTCCTGGAAGCACCTTGCTGTAATGATGTATTACACTAATAATGCAGCCATAGCTCATTGCAGTGACACAGCTATGGTGATATATTAAGGTGATAGAAAGCACTATAATGCTATAAAACTTAAGATAATGTTCACCCAGCAGAGCATTTCATTTAATTATAGGATAAAATATGTTTTGCCCATTTAAGCAGCAGAAGTTGAGGACAAAGCCATCAATATTGAGCTCATGGGGGACACGGCAGGAGCAGGGGTGACGAAACAGCACCCTTTAATCAGATTAAATTGTGATAAAAGGCAAATCCTGAACGTTTTACTGATGGCTGCTAATTGATGGTCTGCTCAGAGCAGAAGGGAAGCTAAACAACTCGAAATTATTTTCCAATAGAGTCAATGAAGGTCATCAAGGCTTTTATTTCCCAGGTACTGGGATGTCTAATTAACTTTCTGCCATCCCTGAGATGCAGCCAGCCAGAAATCACAATCACAGGAGATGGATTGGAGGTGCAGCTTTCCCAGGGGGATCAGCCCCAGCCCCAGGAGGGGCTGAGGGAGCTGGGAAGGGGCTCAGCCTGGAGAAAAGGAGGCTCAGGGGGAAATTCTGGCTCTGCACAATCCCTGCCAGGAGGGGACAGCCAGGGGGGGATTTGGGATCTTATCCCAGGGAACAGGGACAGGAGGAGAGGGAACGGCCTCAGGCTGGGCCAGGGGAGGCTCAGGATGGACAGAGCAGGAATTTCCCCATGGAAAGGGAGCTCAGGCACTGGAAGTGCCCAGGGAGGTTTGGGATCCCATCCCTGGAGGTGGCACTGAGTGCTCTGGGCTGGGGACAGGGTGGGGATGGGGACAGGGTGGGTTCCATGATCCTGGAGGGTTTTTCCAGCCCCAGTGACCCTGAGATTCCCCCCAGGGACAGCTGAAGTTGGGAACATGGGCAGGTGCAGGTTGATGAGGTTTTATGGGCACAGGTGCCCAGAGCAGCCCCTGGATCCCTGGCAGTGCCCAAGGCCAGGCTGGCTGGGTTTGGAGCACCTGGGACAGGGGAAGGTGTCCCTGCCATGGCTGGGGTGGCACTGGATGGGCTTTCAGGTCCCTCCCAACCCAAACCCTCCTGGGATTCTGTGATCAAGGTTTGTGCTGCTCCTGACCCCTCCTGTGGGGAACACCTGGTGAATGAACACTGGGGAGGTGTGAGGAGCTCTGCTCTGATACACAACATTTTCACTCCAGCAGCACCTGGGAGCAGGGCCAGGCCCACCCTGGGGTTATGAGCTCAGTTTGACCCTCTTACATTGCTTTAACTTGATTTCCAGTGTTTAATTATTACAGCCCAGATAACCCAAACTCCCAGTGGGATTTTCTGCCTCTTCTCTGGCATCTGGGTCACAGATATGCTCAGTTAATTAATGTGCTGAATCCTCCTTATTTGTCTGCTGGATAATGGCCTGATTCATAATTTAAATAAGCAGCTGTGGAGATCTTTCCCTTGAACTATAAAAGGCAGGACACTGGTGTTTCTTTCTCCTCACTCCAGAATTTAAATGCGTTTAGGGAAATATTTTGGTGGCATTCCTTGGCATGGGGGAGTCCTTTGTGTGCTGGAATTCCCAAGGGCATCATCCCAGGCCGCACGTCCTGGGCAGCCCCTGGCAGCTGTGGCAGCTGGATCCTGTGGAATGGCTGCAGTCCTGAGCCCAAGGGCTGAGCCATGGGGCAGATCCCGGCTCCTGTCCCGGTCCTGGCCCCTCTGGCTGCTGCTGCTGCCTGGCTGGAGCCCTGGAGGTGTGCCAGGCTCCAGAGGCAGGAGCTGGGCCAGCTGGAATCCAGAGAAAACGTCCACTGGCCCATCCCACAGCGCTCCAGGAGGCTCCAGGAGCAGTTTAAGAGTTATTCCTTCCCCTTCCTGTGTCTCAGTTCCTCACCTGCACCTGAAAAGAAACCAGACCCAAAGAGGGATAAAAGGTTGGAGGAAGTGGGAATTTATTCCTTCTGGCTCTGCTTTCCCCGTGCATCCCCACGGAATTTCTCCAGGGGCTCTGTGCTGTCCTGTCCCCGCTGGCTGTGCCGATGCTGTGAGTGCTGAGAGTGTCCCCGCTGTCCCCCTGTCCCCAGCTGGCTCGCTACACCAGGGAGGGCTTCCTGCACCTGGGGGCCCTGGGCACCACCACGCTGCTGCCCGACACCCGCTGCCTGGTGGACACCGGCAAGAGCCGCTTCCCGCAGCTGCTGGACTGTGACAAGGTCAAGAGCAGCCTCCACAAGCGCTGGAGCTTCATCCAGGTGGGCCTGGGGCTGCCCTGGGGGCTCCTCTGCTCCCCAAAGCCTGGGTGGGACACGGCCCCTGGGCTGGGACAAAGGGGAAACGGTGCCACAGCAAATTCCAGCTCCTGGGGCAGAGGGAGGAGGTTAAGAGGGATCAGGGCAGCACTTCAGGACAATTTCTAAAGAAAGTTTTCCTTTCTGGTAGCAGAGAGGTGGATCTGGTTATGTTTGGTCTGCCAATGACTTCCAGATTCCTTTGTTTTTCGTGGATGAAGAGTGAAATTCATTGTCCCAAAGCAGTTTAAGGAACACAGCTTCCACAGTGTCCCACTCCCCAGCAGCTGTGGCATTTAGAGGATGCAGGTGGCCCTTGGTGCTGCCAGGGACAATGGATGCTCATTCCATTTATTGGGGGAATTATTTTATTGTTTGAATTGCATTCCCACCCAGCCGAGTGCTCCTTCCAGCAGTGCCCCCCTGGTCCTGGTTTGCTTCTCAGGCAATTAATATCTTCATTTTTCCCTCTTTTCCCACCCCCTCTAATGCAGAACGGAGCCATCCTGAACAAGGGCACGGGGCGGTGCCTGGAGGTGGAGAACAGGGGCATGGCTGGCATTGACCTGATCCTTCGCAGCTGCACAGGGCAGAGGTGGACAATTAAAAACTTCATCAAGTAGAGGCTGAAAGAGTCAGGGGAGTCTGACTCGAGCCACGGCTGACAGGGGCTGACACGCCTGGACTCCTTTGGGAAGGATGGAAAACCAAGCAGAGCTTTATTGGTGTTCCTAGGAGAGGACCTGGGGGAGATGGGCATCTGTGGCTTTATTTTCACCAGCTGTGGGTCTCCCCCAGCTGATCCCAGCTCTGGAGCTGGCTCAGAACTGCTGCTCCCCCTGGCCAGCACTCCAAGAGCTGCCACATTCCCTGCTGGAGCGGCTCTCGTGGGCTGGGAGCGTTGACTGACAGGGAATTTCTGCTTTCCCACACAACCCCGAGCTCTCCCAAAGGGCTGGGGAGGTTTGCACCATGAGCCTGGACGGTCCTGCCTGGCAAGTGTGGGAACTGAGGAGCTTGGGAGAGGAAAAGGTTCCCAAGCTCCAAAGGAGCCGAGTTTGAAGGATGTGTTGTTTTGCTGGGTCCTTGTTCCCTTTTCCCTTTCCTGCCCCTGCATCCAGCAGCCCCTTCCCTGAGTTCTGGAGAAGAAAAACACACCCCAGCAGCTCCCAGGGATCTTTCCAGCCCTTAATCACAGAAGTTACCCAAAAAGATGCAGTGGAATAAACCCCCTGACCTCCCCTTGGCCCCCTCTCCATCAGTCACACGCTGCTGCCCAAAGCAGCACCTCCCTCCATGGAGACCCCACAGGGACCCCATGGAGACCTGGGACGTTTGCCTGCCCTTCTGGGTGACTGCAGGAATGTTCTCTGGGGCTTGAGCCCCCTGTCCTGCCTGGTCAGGCCTGGCCAAGGACCCCCAGAGTCACTGCAGCCCCTCCTGAGCTGTGGCAGGGACAGGGAGGGAGGCCAAGGCACCAACAAACGGCAGCTGAAATTCTGCCCTGAAGTCACTTCAGGCTTGTTACTCCAGTGCAGGGATCCCTGCTGATTTATTTTTGGCTCACAGTAATCCTGGCTGCCAAATCCCAGCTACCAAATCCACCTGGGAGACCTCTGCTTGGGGTGTGTCTGCCTGGAGAGGGGAAACGATCCCACAGAGCTGCTGTGGGTGGATGGCCACGGGCTTTGCTCAGCAGGGAGGAGAAACCAGCCCATCTCCTGTCCTTCTCCCAGAATAATCCTCTTTGTGGCTGCCCTCTGGCTAGGGTGCACTAAAATAGATTAATATATGAGATGTATGTGTAAATATGTTTCCCAAGCTGGGATGTGCACAGAGTCCTTTGCTGCAGAGCACTCATGCCTGTCTTCCATTTGCATCAGGATGAAGCTCCCTGGATGTTTAACGAGCTCAACTTCCAATGCCATGCAGCAGGTTTCTAACTGATGTTTTAGTAATTTATTGAAGAGAAGCAGATCTATTTCATTGTTCCTTCTACAGCAGCGAGCATCACCTAGGACTGATTGTTCATTTAGGCTTCACGAGGCTCCCTCACCCGCTGGGGCTGTCTCTGATTTTTCCCCTGCCTTCCTTAATGAAGTAAAACCTCTTAGTTGTCCTGACTTGCAGAGTAGAGAGTCAGTGTAGGATTTTGCTCTGTTTTTCGCTGTTGCATCATCTCTTGTGTAATAAATCTGAGCACTTCCAAAGCCGGTATGACCACAGGTGTGTGGATGCACGAGCCAGCTCCCCTCGCCTCTGCTGCTGCCTCAGAGAGAAGCGATTTCCTGGGGACTCCAGGAAACCCTGAGGGCTCTGAGACCCCAGAGCTCTGCTCCAACTGGGAAATGCCCTTAAACTGAGCAAATATTGGAGGGGAGAGCCTGTGTGGGTCAGGATCGGCAGCCAGACAGCCCCTGGGTGTTGTCTGTGCTGTAATTCAGCCCGGCTCGGGCCCTGCCAGTGCCCAGGGTGGCAGCAGATGGCTTTTGTCACATGTCACAGTGCTGGGGTGAGGTGTCCCAGCACTCTGGGGCTCCTGCAGCGGGACTGGATGGGACGTGTGGCTGTCCCTGCTTCTGTCCCTGCCTCTGTCCCTGTCCCTGCCTCTGTCCCTGCCTCTGTCCCTGCTTCTGTCCCTGTCCCTGTCCCTGCCTCTGTCCCTGTCCCTGCTTCTGTCCCTGCCTCTGTCCCTGTCCCTGCTTCTGTCCCTGTCCCTGTCCCTGCCTCTGTCCCTGTCTCTGTCCCTGTCCCTGCCTCTGTCCCAGTCCCAGTCCCTGTCCCTGTCCCTGTCCCTGCCTCTGTCCCTGTCTCTGTCCCTGTCCCTGCCTCTGTCCCAGTCCCAGCCCCTGTCCCTGTCCCTGTCCCTGCCTCTGTCCCTGTCTCTGTCCCTGTCCCTGCCTCTGTCCCAGTCCCAGTCCCTGTCCCTGTCCCTGTCCCTGCCTCTGTCCCTGTCTCTGTCCCTGTCCCTGCCTCTGTCCCAGTCCCAGTCCCTGTCCCTGTCCCTGTCCCTGCCTCTGTCCCTCTGGGCTGGCCGTGTGGCCCTGGTGCCACCGCTGTCCCTGTGCCAGGTGGCTCAGGGTGCCCAGGGCACGAGGATCCTGCTGCTGCTGAGCTCTGGGATCCTCTGGAGTGTTCAGGGCCACACCTGCCTTTCCTTCGTGCTGCAGAAGGAAAAGCAGCCCCTGCCTCAGCACAAGGTGGAGGTGAGCCCTGGGCTGGGGGACCCTCAGCTGGGGCAGAGCCCCCGGGGAGGTGCTGGGGGGTGTTGGCCCCTTCTCCCTGAATCAAGCTGAAAAGTGGGAATTTGCTGTTCTGTCCTGACACCGTCTGTGACTGCAGGGTGGCCCCGGGGCTGCACTCCCACCCCCGAGAAATCTGGCTGAGATCTGGGTCTCGGTGTTGCATCTCGCTTATCTCTAATCATCTGTTAATTGCTTTAAGAAGTGATCTCTAAGTGATTCTTATTAAAGATCTGATTTGAGCCTCGCCTCTTGGGTGATTTTCAAAAGATTCTCTGCTGCTGAGATACAGAGGCAGTCAGTCCTCTCCCTTACTCATTTAATAGAAAAGTGCTGCTGTTTTAATGAAAATTCCATTTCTAAAAGAAATGGAAATGAAGGAGAGATCAAGAGAGATGGTGAACAGATTAACTCCCATCCCATCCATCCCTGCTGCTGCCACTCACCAGGGTAAGTTACACCCCCCAGCCGGAGGGAGATGTAATGTGGCCAGTGAAGCATCCCTTGCATTCCTGAGCCCAGGCTGGGTGTCCCTGAATGTTCCTCGGTGTCACCTGGAGCTCGGGGCACTCCTTGAACCCACTCCTTCCATCCTCAACACCGGGTTGGTGCTGAAGGGTGGGAGGGAAGGGTCTCTGTGTGACCACAGGGGCTGGGGCACAATCCAAATCCTTTTCCTGCTGCCCAGGCTGGGGGTTCAGGGCTGGGCCATGTCCAGTGTCACCCACAGGAACCCTGGGACCTTCTCCCAGAGCTGCTGATCCCAGCCTGGGCTGATCCCAGCCTGGGCTGATCCCAGCTTGAACTTGCCCTTGTTGGTGCAGAGGCTTCACCCACCCCAGATCCTGGCTGGGAAGAGACAGAAGGGCCCATCCAGCTGCTGAGGGTGTGCCCCAGGGGCCTGACCCCATAGAAATGGTAAATGATAAATGGTAAATGATAAATGATTGAATTGTGCTCTCCTGTTCACTGCCCCGCTCAGATCATTTCTCTGACCTCCTGTGTTTCAGTGCAGCGGCTCCTGCCGAGCTGCTTTGTTGCAGTTGATAGCGAGATAATTATAATGCCATCAGTGGTTAAACAGTTTCAATAGCAGCAGCCCCTCTCCTCGGGCCTTTGATGGATATCTAACAGATTAATCAGCTGCTGGGAGCAGAGGGAGCGCTGACAGTGTGATTTTCCTGAGATGCACGTTCCAAAAACAGCCTGTGAGGAGCTGGGGGGATGTCCAGGGCATGAGGAGCTGGGGGGGATGTCCAGGGCATGAGGAGCTGGGGGGATGTCCAGGGTGTGAGGAGTTGGGGGGATGTCCAGGCTGTGCGGAGTTGGGGGGCTGTCCAGGCTGTGAGGAG